CTAAGGGCACCTGTCAAAAAATCAACTTTATTTGCTTTCGAAGGAATTCGGTATAATTTGTTTAATTTTTCTGGCATCGCAATGAAATGTTTAACACGTCTGAATAGGATCATAATTTCATCAACTTCGTCAGGGCTGTATTTCGACAATTGATAGCATTGAAGTTTCATATCTTAACCTATAGCTTTGAATATCGTGATTGAAAAAGATAGTTTTCTGGATTTTTGATCAAGCGATATCCATTCCTTCAATGTTTCTGTTCGGCGGAAAACATCTTAGCTAGGCATTAACATGCTGTTGTTAATTAAGAAAATTTATTTTCCGGACATCGAAAAACCGCAAAATATGAAATTCCTCGTAGTTTCCAGTGCAAACTATCCGAAATAGATCGTGAAAATCGGGAAAAAAAGAGATTTATTTCCACAAACATTTTGATGCAGACGAAGTTAGACGTTATGATACCTCGTCAGCAGGTTAGTACATGAACTTGGTTTGTTATAAGCAAGAATATAGGAAAGTGGCATTCCAGGCTAGACGCCTGTTCCTATGTTAAAATTAGATCCACATCATGAAGAGATATGCATTTTGATGGATAGAATACTACAAAAATAGTATAATTTGCGGTATTTAAGCCAGATCAGACTAGCATAGCCGACCACCTATTGTCAATATTCGGAATGTGTGGACCAAGATTTGCCCGGAAAGACACTACCCTAAGTCAATATTTGACTTTTATTTAAGGGATCACATTTTATTTTAGACTCCCTGAATACCTTAAACTTCAAGTCAGATGGATATTTTAGTACCTCCAAACGGACTGTTTTAAGCAAGGGCATACTAGGAGAGATGTTTGCCCAACACAAAGGCTAACATAGATACCAAGACCAAGATGTCGTGGCTAACAGTCTATCTAATCGTTGTGCTAAGTTCTTGACAAATAAATTTAGGCTGTAGGTGACGAATAGTAACCACCAGACGCTAAGGGTTAATATGTAAATATACTTGGATGGTACCAAAACGTGTAATTACGGCCTGAAAAGGTGATTAAAAAATCCTCTGGAGCCTCAAGCAGGCGAAACTGACAGTTATTTCATGAAGTACTTGACTCAACGAGATCAGCCATTTCCAGTCACCTGGAAATGAGGCTACTCAAGAGAAAATGTCCTGATTAAAAGGTTTAAATTTCTGTTGTATCAAGTCAAGATTCTTGATCTAAAATGGTCTATTTAGATTGCTCGAACTCAAGCCACGGGAGCTCCAGGCTCAAGTACCAGTCGAGTTTCAAGGATAAGCATTTAGGTTTACCGTTTTGTACAATATTTTAAACAAACGCTGTTAGATCATTACTACTTCTATTCTAGTTTTGCTATTTATAATAACATTACTACATTTTCTACAATAGCTAATACCACTTGATCTCTTTATTTACTTGCATTAGTGAATATTCTCTTCCTCCCATATATTTACTTAAAGTTATTAACTTTTCCTCTACACCCTCAAAGTCCAATATGGATTAATTCTAACCATTAACTTTGCCCATCTGACTTCTGACTGTAGGATAAATGAATACTGTACATTTTCTTGAACGGCCTTTACGATCATATATGCACACTATCGTAAACATATGGCTTTTCTTCTTACCGTTACCAAATTTTAGTTCAGAACTCCAAGTCTGAATATCCGACTGAGACACAATTGTGCGACCAGTTTTATTACCAGCCATACTACTGCGCATTATGGGGTCTATGCGAGGTATTTGGAACACATAAATTAAGAACTTGGTCCCTCTGCCTCACAAAAGATGCTTTAAAGACTATCAAATGGAATTTCCTTTAATGCTATGAATGGGGAACTTGATGCCACTGCATATTTCTTATTCATTCCAGAGTGGAATGCTGTTACCATCTCGCTCATTATCTCCCACAACTAAACAGTGGAGTTGTGACGTATCGTCGGAAGGCACACAATACAGTTTCGAATCTCATTGGTGGGGCTGATTTAACCTAGGCAAGGTAGAAACTGTATTACTATTGTGAATGTATTCACCCAATTTCGTTTAAGGTGATGAAGGACTGGTAGAAGAATTTTCCCACAATGATGTGAGTAGGGCTGACGTTCCCATTGAATTTCACATAGCCTTGCTCTCCCAAAAGTTGTTCTCATCCTGGGGAAGCAAGGCCATGTGAAATTTAATGAAAACGTCAGCTTAACTCATATCATTGTGGTAAAATATTTCTACCAGTCCTTCATCACCTTAATGAAATTGGGTGAATACATCTCATATTACTGATTTACTGGTAGTCTCGAAACAATACTTAAATACTATTGGGGGGACAACGCTAAACAAATTTCAACGACATACTAAGGTTTATTCATAGCATTGCAAGAAAAACTGCATTAGCATCCCTTTAAGCATCTTATGGAACCTAGTATGATTGATAGATTTGAAGCTGTTTTAATTCAGATAATCAAATGACAAACGTACAAATATTTACTTTAATGTGTCCCGCTTTTCTCACCTTGGACATTATATCCTCGTCGACCTCTCTTTCTGGCTCAGCCCAGTCAACGGCAATTTGGTGTCCCCAAAGATGTATACGCCCGGGAATCAGCTTCCTTCTTGCCATGGCAGCTGCCTTGTGGTTGTCGTACTCGACGAATGCAAATCCACGATTCTTTGTCTTGTCTGTGACGCTTGGGTAGACGATAACGTCTTTTACGCCTTCTGTTACTTTCGTCATCTCGACCATGATCTCCTCTTTGGTGCGAGTTTTCGGTATCCCACCCACAAAGAGCCGACAGTTGTCCACACTAAAACAGACGCCTAGGGTTTTGCCACGTCTTATCTCATAGTTGTCCAATTCAGTGACTGCTCGACGTGCGTCTTCGCGATTTGTGTATATACAAAAACCATAGCCACGATTGCAGCCACTAAAGTCCATCATCAATCGAAACATGTAGATTCGTCCGGCCGTCTCAAAGATGGGTACAAGCTCGTCCTCGAAACAGCCTCTGGGAATTTTTCCGATGAAGACTTCACAGCCACGCGGTGGTGGTGGCCTGCTCAGCCAGTCAGGTGGGGGACCGTAGCGACGTTGGCCATTCTCCTGAAGAATCGGATAAAGTGTACGCTCCGTCAAGTGGACTAGCGCCTCTTCGCAAGAAAGTCCTGTGCCTACGGAGGCATTCTGATTGTCCTGGTGAATATTAGAATGCCGACTTGCCCATGTCACTGTTGTCTTATCCGGACTCTCCAAATGGGCGTCTCTGGTACTTCCAGAAGGCCAATTCATCGGAGAGCCTGGACTTGGGCAGGTATTTTGCAAATCATTTGTCTCGTTGTAGAAGGATTCCGCCAATGAGTTAGTTGGATGCGAGCCTGTAGAAGTCATCCAGACTTCTGGAGCTCGTGCTGGAGAGCCAATTAATGGCTTGGCTGGGGCCGAGGTCGAGCCTGGGGTCATGGCCAAATGTAGCTGATTGTAAAGGGCTCGAAGTCCAGCCAACCAATTTGCTGGTCTTGAAAATGTTTTGTCTGAGGAAGTCAAAGGTAATTGGAGCGAGGCGGTTTGCGATCTAGACACTTGGCTCTGGAAGAGCTGGTCGACTGACGAAGTGGGTGCTGAGATACTCATTCCGGAACTGAGACTGGTAGGTTGGCTGACTGTGGTTACCACCAGGCTGCAAGGAGAAGGTGAGCTACTTGGAGAGCTTGGATAGTGAAGTAGTTCCATTGACGACGTTGTTGGGGCGACATCATCAAAGCAGCCTGTTTCCCGCTGGTCAGTTACACCATTTGCTGGGCAGGGAGCGATGGTGGTTGATGCCTTTGACACGGGCGTCGAGGGGTACGTCGACTTTGAGTAGGAAATCGAACTGGGCAAGGGAGGAAGGCTCGCGAATGAGAGGAAGGGAAGCGAATCGGGCAGCCCAACAGACTCAACGAGAATTCGGTCATTTGGTGAGATGATTCTATCACAGCAGATCTCGCCGGATTCTCCGAAGCCAAGAGGATCGCTGCTGGAAGTCAAAGGAAATTTGGCTGAGTGTTGACCTTCTAGGAGGCTGTGATGACAAGACAGAATGTTGTGTACAATTAGTTCACACATAAGAGCATATATGTATTGAAATTATATGCACATGTGTATGCGATCAGAGGCCACATACGCAATGCAAGACAAGGAAAGCCTGTAGAACAAGACAAACCTTAATAATCCCTTTCTGACTTACCTATTATTTCAATTAAATAGCAAAGTTCATACGCAGTATTAGAACATTTATATGATCATAGGTCTTAATTAAATTAGGGAATAAATAATA